GCAGGAGTTCCTCTCATCCAGTTTTCAGTTCTGTCTCAGGGGTAATTTTTCCACGAGTAGTTGTAAATTGGCTGTGTCCACGGGAGGAGGTGAGTTCCGAGTCTGCTTACGCCGCCATCTTCCTCACTTTCTCCATTCATCTTTGTAAATAGCAGCACGATGTACCTTGTATCCAAGCACATAGTAGATGCTTAATAAATATTTTTTGAATGAATGTAGGTAAAGAACTCTTTGCATGATCTTTTGTTTGACCTCTATTAATTAACTTTATCTTCTTTAATTGCAAATGTTAGAAATTCAAAATATAGAACATTTTATTTTCAACTCTGGAAATATCAAACATCAATATAAAATATTTGTTGTTTACTAGTTGGCTTTATTCATCGCCATCATTTGGCACCTTGTTTACTAGTAGGCCAATTTTTGTTGTTTGCTTTACTAAGTATATTCTACAGCAAATTTAATGTCCCCTTTTACCACTATTTGAAAAGTGCCCCTAAGTTTTTATTCAGGGAGCCATTGTGGATAGAGTCTATTTCAATTGCTGTATTTTCTATGGTCAGTACCGATTTTTCTCATTTCTCACTTCCTTTCTAACATGATCCAAAAATGTCCAGGTATTCATTTGTAATTTTCTGGTTCATTACTTTTTTTTTCTTCCATTCCACAGAACTGTAGATGTCTGAAATTTGTTTTTATGGCATCTAAAATAAAAATTTAGTTTTTTTTTTTTCTCTAAGTTATCAATTATCTTTCCTCTAAATTTGCTTGCTCTTCTCCAGCTATGCCTGGAAAAACCAGACCAACTGCAGATTCTCTCCTACTTTCTAATCTGTATTTTCACAATGCTATAAATCACAGTGCTATAGCAAAATATAGTTATATTATGCCACATTTTAAATCTCCTTTATACCACTTAACCTTGCTAAGCCATCTTAACTATTCCTTTTATCCAGGTAGAACCCCATGAGAATGGTATGACGATCTTCTCTTTTTTAATAACCAGGCCAACACAATAGATTTTTAAATAATGATCAAGGATTGTTTTTATTCATTAAGTTTCAGTATCATTACAGAAAATGTTATGGTACAGAGTTGTTTAACATTATTTTTTCTTTGCTCTTGATTTCCACATGAATGCTGGTAACACTAATATCTGTACAAGATCAGTCTTTGATTTTATTTTTTGTTCTGTACAATTTTAAATGTATTGGTTAAAAAGGCTGTCAGCACTTAAGGAAGCATTTTTTTCCTCCAGTTTGTTTGTTCAAATAAAAGGTATCCAGTTACTGCCCAAGAGTACTGTGCCATGAGGCTGCTGGGTGAGAAACCGCCCTGTACGCTCTGCAGGGGATGGTTCTCCTTGAGGCAGGGCAGGGCCTCCACCCAGCCACTCTTCTTTTGGCACTGTGCACATAAACACGAGATACATGATAAAGAACAAGCAAAAGCTCTCTGTAAAGCGGTTATGAAGCATACTAAGAAGGGAAATCCAAGTGTTGCCTACACTAGTATAAATAAGCAGACAGCCTTGATTTAAGAGCATAAGTAGTTGTATTTTAAAGATGAGAAAAACACAAGTTCTGCAGGCACCTACTGCTGTCTACTAAAAGCTATCGCTATCAGACCTAGCATTGAACACACAAAGCAATTTGCAAGAAAGGAAAAATTTGCCTTGATATAATCAGAATAGAGTTGTCTGTTAAGATTGTTTTTTAAGGTGTTTTTTTCTTTAAAAGGTATTTAAATTCTTTTGAAATATAGTTCAAGGTGTTGACTATACAGATCAACTTTTATCCAAATCAGAAAAACTAGCTGTGCCATTGCATATTACAGGATACAGTCAATGATATGTGGACATGCATCAAAGCCTTCTCCTGCTGGTGACCATCATAGCCGTCCAATGACCATGACATCCACCACCTCGCCCTTGTGGAGCTCCACGTACTGCTCTGTCTTTGGAGGTAGCATCAACAATCCGTTGGCGCTGCGCATGCTCATCAGACGGCTGCTCATCTGATTACCTACAAAGAAATACTCTCTTTATAGAAGCATGAGCATCTCAGTGTATACATTTAGAGCCCTTATAGTTCTTTTCAAAATAAAAACCAATGACCAGAAACACAGGTCTTCAGGAGGAAGAGAGCTGGTCAGAATTCCAGTGCCTTTTTCAGGTGGCCTTGCTACTGCATCCTACCACCTTCTCATTAAACTTCAAAAATAAACATTAGAAATTATTGCTTAAAGGAATAAAACCAGGATTTTATAAAATTATGCAAAATGCCACAGAAATTCTTAATTCAGGCTACAATGTTATGTGTGTCTGAAAAAACAAGCTTTTAAAACCTATTAAAATAATAATGATAATAATAGCAGCAGCTACCATTTCTCTAGTATTTACTAAGTACCAGACAAGGTGGTAGGCACTTTATTTAACTATCTTATTTAATTCTCCCAAGATTCAAAAGAGGTTAGGTAACTTGCCTAGCGTCCTACTAACTAGTTGGTGGCCAATTTTAATGCAAGTCACTGCATACTTAAGTCATTGTGTTAGCTGATGCTTGTGCTTGATAGGACCTTTGTTTAAAGGGTAATACAATTTTTCTGGAGTTGTATCTAACCATCAAAAGTTAGGTAAAATATGACTAAAGAAGTTGAGGATAAAAGTTTAAAGTCTAGAGGAGTTAACTATAGAACTCTGAATTTTATCAATATTGGTTTCTCAGTCCTTAAAATTTACCAACAGCTAGGGTATAATAGAGGCTACAGAGAATCACATCCTAATTGGGCTTTACTCTCACATTTTAGGGAGGCATAGCCACCGTCCGTCCTTTTCCTATAACCGAAGTTATGCTCAGAACTTATTGGTTGAACAAATAGATAAAAATCTTCTGTAATTCTAGATTTGTATTTCAAATGTTTACCTGGAAAATTTGGCTCCACAGAATAGCTAAACTTTTATTAAAAATATTTTTTTCCTCTTGTTGTCCTGTTATGCTGTACTGTTTAGGAATAATTTAACTCATCTAATCTTTGAAAAAGGAAAATGTACAACAATTACAAAATTAGGTAGACCAAGGAAGGAGGCTGTATATAAATTTGTGTTTGAACAGGGTGGGGGCATAGAGATACCTGCAGGTGTGAATGACTAACCTGTACTCTGTGCCCAAGGCAGTGGTTCTTGGTGATGCCAAGTCAGTATACACCGATGGTATTCTGGACGAGGATCCAGTTTTACATCACATGATAACTAGAGAATAAAGAGGAAAAGAAAACAAAGTTGATCTCCTGATCATCTCTTAAAAGTACAGGGTGATGGAGGTTGTGCAAAGAATACAGTGGACATGGAAAATATTCCGGCATTCTGCTGTTTCCACCACTGCCACCTTATGTTCTTAATACAGAAAGTCCAGAGGTTGGGCTGCTCTGGTGAAAACAGAAAAGAAGGCTAAGAAGTTCTTATTCATAGTGGGGAAAAGGGCAGATGAAAAAGATGGGGTCTATTTTTGAAGTCTAATTTTATGGTTTGTGAGGACAGATACCTCTGACCTATGAATTGAGAAAGCAAAGCAGATATTTTAACATTGAAAATAAACGAGGCAGACCTAAGCAAGCAAACAAGCTCAATATCCATTTATTTGTATGCCCATTCATTCGCCCATTTAGTAAATATTTACTGAAGTGCTATTCAGCTACCCCTTCATACACCTGTCTTCAGCACAAAGGGGACAGTTAACTTTCTTTTTCTCTTGAATATTCCCCTAGTATCCCAATACTGATATACAATTTCATTAAGGCAAATAAAAGTAGTCTCCTCTAAAAGGTATAGGATTTTGGTTTAGCCACGTCACTGGTACTAAAAGAATTCCTCTGAATGAGTCTTTGCTATGAAATGGCATGTTTCATATCTCTCTAACAAGGATAAACTTCCTTTCCAATATAGCAACTTCAGTTCACTCACATGATATAAATGACCAGTCAACCTTCAACCTGGAGCCATTGTTTTTTGTTATTGATGTCATTAAATTCATCCTGAAATCTGATAAATTAGTGATAATGTGTTGGTAACAGGTGCCTAAGAGGTATTCCTTGAACAAGTTTATACAGTATATAATTACAAACTATAGCCCATCAAAGATTAATTAGTGAAAACAAGACTGGTTCCAGCGCATGAGAATTAACATTTCTCATTAGCACAATAATCATTTAAGTTACTCTACATTAAAATGGTCTAGAAATCTTTATTCAACTACAACAGACACTGCTTAGATCAAATGATACCATTAAAACTTGAATATTCTGGAAATTTTAATTCAACTAAGTCTATCTCCAACCCATTCTGGTTACCATGTTTTTTTTTTTTTTGTGAGGGAGATCACCCCTGAGCCAACATCCATGCTAATCCTCCTCTTTTTGCTGAGGAAGACCGGCTCTGAGCTAACATCTATTGCCAATCCTCCTCGTTTTTTTCTTCCCCAAAGCCCCAGTAGATAGTTGTATGTCATAGTTGCACATCCTTCTAGTTGCTGTATGTGGGACGCGGCCTCAGCATAGCCAGAGAAGCGGTGCGTTGGTGTGCGCCTGGGACCCGAACCCGGGCCGCCAGTAGTGGAGCGCGCCCACCTAACCGCTAAGCCACCGGGCCGGCCCTGGTTACCATGTTTTTAAACATTCTAATTATTCACTATGACAATCCCTGCTTTTCCTCTGGAATCCAGAAAAAAAATTCCATTCTAGGGAGTTTTCCCTTGATTGAATCACATTCAGCTCTTTCACTTGATATTGCTTATGTTTATAGTCCATTTCATATCTACTGGGGGGGGTAACTTGCATTATTCCTGAATTATTTTGTGCTTACCCGAGGGCAAAAATCTCTCTTTCTCTCAATCTCTATCTTTGTGTATTTGTGTTCTCCAGAACCAAACTACAAGAGCTATTCACATGGCTGGGTTATTTGCTAAGTGTTTAAGCAAGGTTTCTTTCCCTAGCAATGGCACTGACTGGCATTACAGTGGAACAAATACTGGAGCGAGATGATAATTGACATGTAGGTTCTACTCCCAGCTTTACTGCTAACTGGTCCTATATCTGTCTGTGCATCTACAAAATGGGATTGTTTGTTTTAAAGAAATATATTAATGTTAATTTAAGAAACAAGAACGAATTGCATCAAATTGAAGTGAATGAAATTTTTTCATAGCTTACACAAACTGCTGTTCCTTTTGCAGCAAGAGATGAAACTGATTAGATTTTTAAGGTGTTTTACTGAAATGCAGAATACTTTATTAATCAACATATTTAGCTGTACTGACATTAGAGTTCTGCTATATTACATCACTTCGCTTAAGAAAGCATCTATTTACTATGAGCATCAATGCTTATAAGAATGATGTACCATGAGTAAATGTAGACACATTTTTTGGTGAAAAAGCATTGCAAATGGTTGATGTTTCACTTCTGATGACTCCTTCTATTCATTCAAAATTGGGCAGTGGGCTGTGGACTAGGACTATTTCCTCTCTTTTCTTTGAATATTTTTCTGGTGTATAGTAGTCACTTAAGAGATAAAATTGTATTACTTGGTGTAGTATTCTATAGTATGTTCTACATGTAAATGTTTAAGGGAGAGAATTAGGGGAAAAAAAAAAAAGGTCAACAGAATGAGAATATAAGCCACAAGACTGTGAGGAAATATTTGCAAAAGATACATCTGATAAAGACCTGTTATCCAAAATACACAAAGAATTCTTAAAACTCAACAATAAGAAAATGAAAAACTTGATTAAAAAATGGGCAAAAGACCTGAACAGATACCTCACCAAAGAAGACATACAAACGGCAAGTAAGCGTATGAAAAGATGTTCAACATCATATGTCATTAGGGAATTGCAAATTGAAACAACAATGAGATATCACTGCATACCTACTAGAAAGGCCAAAATCCAAAAACTGGCCACAACAAATCCTCGTGAGAATGTGGAAGAACAGGAGCTCTGTTATTCACTGCTGGTGGGAATGCAAAATGGTACAGCCACTTTGGAAGACAGTTTGGCAGTTTCTTACAAAATTAAACATACTCTTACCATACAATCCAGCAATTGCGTGCCTTGGTATTTACCCAAGTGAATTGAAAATTTATGTCTACACAAAAACCTGCACATGGATGTTTATGGAAGCTTTATTCATAATTGCCAAAACTTGGAAGCAACCAAGATGTCCTTTAGTAGGTGAATGGATAAATAAACTGTGGTACATCCAGACAATGGAATAGCACTAAAAATAAATGAGCTATCAAGCCATTAAAAGACATGAAGGAATCTTGGGACCAGTCCGGTGGTGCAAGCAGTTGGGTGCGTGTGCTCTGCTGCGGCGGCCCGGGGTTCGCCGGTTCGGATCCTGGGGGCGCACCGCTTGGCAGGCCATGCTGTGACAGCGCCCCATATAGAGTGGAGGAAGATGGGCATGGATGTTGACCTGGGGCCGGTCTTCCTCAGCAAAAAGAGGAGGATTGGCAGATGTTGGCTCAGGAGCAATCTTCCTCACCCCCTCTCCCCAAAAAAAAGACGTGAAGGAATCTTAAATGCATATTACTAAGTGAAAGAAGCCAATCTGAAAAGGCTATCTACTATATGATTCTAACTATATGACACTCTGGAAAAGGCAAAACTATGGAGACAGTAAAAAGATCAAGGGTTAGCAGGAAGGGAGATGAATAGGCACAGCATGGAGGGTCTTTAGGGCAGTGAAACTACTCTGTGTGATACTACAATGGTAGACACATGCAACTGTACATTTGTCCACACTCACAGAATATACAACACCACGAGTGAACCCTAAGGTAAACTATGGACTTTGGGTGATGATGTGTCAATGTAGGGTCATCTATGGTAACAAAGGTACCACTCTGGGGCAGGATGTCAATAATGGGGGAAGTTGTGTGTGTATGAGGGCAGGGGATATATGGGAACTCTCTATACTTTATGCTTAATTTTGCTGTGAACCTAAATGTGCTCTAAAAAATAAAATTTATTAATTACAAAAAGGGGACAATATTTTGCCCTTCTTTGTCCTGCCCATTTTATAGAGAACTCACCTCAAAGAATTCTCAAATAGAGTAAATAATTAATTGCAAATACAGTGTAATAATCTTATCATAGAGCTGTTTATGTGGTGTAAAAGGGCACAAAGAATTAAGTAATCAACCCTTCATAGGGACACTGAGAAAGGCTTCAGAGGGGACATGATGCCTGAGTCTTATGATTAATTTTCCAAGCTGAGAAATGAGATGATGGTGGTTAGGGGAGAACCTTCTAGGAAGGGGAATAATCACAGGTATAGGCAGGGGATCTCATGTCCATTCTGGAAGCAGTAAACAGCTTGGTATGGTGGTAAAGAGCAGGATGGGAAGCAGGTGAAGGCGGAGAGGAAAACAGACTTTGGGATGGAGGGCCTCCTATACTCACTTGAGCAGTTTAGATTTAACCCTGGGGTCATGGGAAGCACTGAAGGATTTTAATTGGAGATGCTGACATGATTCAAGTTAGACAGAAAAGGGATCTAAGAGAAGGCAAGACTAGAAAAAGAGAAACCATTAAATATGCAAAGGGTTATAATCTAGTAAATGTTGCAGCCATCATTCAAACCTAGGCTTAGTTGGCTACAAAACTCAGGGGATACAGAGGGTGAAGGGGCTTTAGGAGAATGGTGCAGATGCGGAAGACTGCAGTGAGGAAGAGAAGAAGCTGACCTACAGGGTATAAACGGATCGCCAGGGGGAATTTTGGTCCCTGCTGACATTTGTAAACTGGAAGTGATAACTCAAACAGTTGTATACTCTTCTCTAGTTGTGCTTAGAGGCCTGGGAATAAAAGTGAAGGACAAAGAAGGGAGGATTGATCCAAGTTTGTGAATTCTTAGAGGGGTTATAATGGAAGGAAGAAGATACAAAAAAACATGGAGGGTGTTGGAAAGAAGTTGCAACACAGGATTTACATTGGATGAGAAAAGTGGTAAAGCCAAAAGGGGCTTATGGACTGAGGGAAAAGGGTAGGGGTAAGGAGTGTTTTACACTCTTTTATATCTACTGATAGGTAACTTGCCACTGTTCCTAAATCGTCTACCAGAGTTGGTGATTTTTGAGATGGAGCAGTTCAGGGTATTGAGAAGGATGCATATGTGAGCTGCCGAGGTAGAAATAAAGGTATTTAGAATTATGAAAATAAAGCAACTGATGGTAAGAGGTGAGGTAGA